ACCAACCTTCCCTCCCTCCCCTCTTTTCCCAGGAAAATCCGCGGCGAAGCCAAGAAGTGCCGCAAGGTTTACGGCATCGAGCACCGGGACCAGTGGTGCACGGCCTGCCGCTGGAAAAAGGCCTGCCAGCGCTTCCTGGACTGACCCCCTGGCATCCCATTCCCAAATTCCCACACTGCTGCAACCAGGGAACCTTGGAAGTACCTCCTGGGAGCCTCCGGAGCTGCGCGAAAATTCCTCCTCCTCCTCCTCCTCCTCCTCCTCCTCCTCCATCTGGGTTTGCTCCCACCTTTTCTTTTTTGGTTTCTAAAACACGAAAAAATCCTTCCCCCTTTCGCTTGGGATTGGGAAAGGAGGGAATTGGTCCTTCTAGGGGGGGGCCAAAGAGCTTCCTGATTTTCCCAGATCGGCCCCGAAAATCCCCCGAATTTTTGGCTTGAGTTGGGGGTGGGGGGAGGGGGAGCTTTTGAGGCGCCTTTGACTCCCCGAAAAAGTGCAAATCCCTCTTTTCCTGCGAGGAAAAAAGGGGGGCTGGAAACGAGGATTGAGAGCTTTAAAAAGGAAAACTCCACGAGGAACTTGGGAGCAGATTTTTTTTTTTTGGGGAGGGGGGGAAAGGAATTGGAAGTTTCTCACACCCTGAAGGAGGAATTTAAGGGGTGGGGGAGCAAAAAAAGCCCATCCCAAATGTTTGAAGCAGGAAAAGCGGGATTTTAGGGCGAAACGTGGTACAAAATCATGGAATGGTTTGGGTGGGAAGGGACCTCAAAGGTGATCCACGGGCAGGGAATATTTTCCCTGGGATCCCACCGAGCCCGCTTGGAATCGGTTGGCTCGTCCCTGGGGTGCATCCAACCTGCTTTTAAAAGGATTTTAAGGATCAGTTTTCCTTAAAAAAAAGCGAAATAAGAAGTTGGGAGAGGCAAATATTTCTCCCAGATCTCCCATTTCCTCGTTTTTGGAGGGCTCGGCTCCCAGATTCCCGATTTTTTTTTTAAGGGGATCGGGTGAAGGGAAACACCCAGAGATGCCTCTCCGTGGTTTTTTGGGATGGTTTTTTCCTTTTCTCCCAGATCATGTTCCTCAGACACCTGATTTTGCTGGATGCTGGGAAGCAGGAGTTGCATCCCTGAGGGAATCTGGGCTCAAATCCCGAAGGAGGGAAGAGGGTTTGGGTTTTTTCCCCCCCCCCTCCTCCTTGGGAGCTGCTCACTTTGGGCATTAGGAATTCCTGTCGGGAATTTCCCTCCAGCAGGTTGAGTTTTGTGGCAAAAATGACCTTTTTTTTAATAATTATTATTATTTTTAATAGAAACTCCGCCGGTTCCTGACCCTCCCAGCCTTTCCACATCCTGTGTCACCTCAGGAAAATCCACCTCTTTCCAGGGAATGGCCCCTTTGGAGCCGGGATTTTGCCAGGTGTTTTGTTTTTTTTTTGTGGGAGTCCCTTAATTTTTGAAATGATTTTTAAAAAAAAAAAAAGAAAAGAGCTCCAAGAGCACGAGAAAGGGGGGAAAAAAAAAAAAAGGTGAATTTCTGCTTTCCTTGTGCCTTTATCCCTGTGACTCCCAGACACCTCCTTGTTCCCGCTGGAGATTTTATCCAGGTTTTGGGCTTTTTTTTATGCCCTTTCTGCCCCAGATGGATCCGGAGGCAGCTCCGTAATCAGGGGAATTCCCTGAGGGATCAGGGAAGTTGGGATGTGCCTCGTCCCAACCCTTCCCGCGCCACTGGAGGGAGCTCAGGTGCCCCCAAAAATGAAAACAAAAAAAAAATTTCTATTAAAACGCTTTTTTTTAAAAAAAAATTTTATCTATAAATATATAAAATAAGGAAGGAAAAGGTCTTGGCTCTGGAAAAAGCATTCCCAGCCCGGGCAGTGCCTCCTTCTGCTCCTTTTTTTTCCTGCTCTTTTTTTTCCCACTCTTTTTTCCCGCTCCTTTTTTCCCACTTTTCCCCCACTTTTTTCCCCCAGTTTTTTTTCCCTGCTCTTTTTTTCCCTGTTTTTTTTCCCTTTTTTTTTTTTCCTGCTTTTTTCCCCCGCTCTTTTTTCCCTCCTCCCTTTTTTCCCCTCTCCCTTTTCCTTCCTCCTTTTTTCCTCCTTTTTTCCCTCCTTTTTTTTCCTCCTCCTCTTTTAGTCTCTCCTCCTTTTTTTCCATCTTCTTCTTCCTGCTCTTTTTTTCCCATCCTTTTCTTCCTCCACCTTTTTCCCTCCTCCTTTTTCCCTCCTCCTTTTTCCCTCCTCCTTTTTCCCTCCTCCTTTTTCCCCCTCCTTTTTCCCC